GTTTGCTATCTACGATCTGAAATTGCTGTAGACAAAGATAAGTTCGCCTTGTTTGTCGAACTTCTCCCCTCGCATAGCTTTGTTTATTTGTTGACCGTCCTATTCTGACCGTCAAGCGTTGGCTAATGTATGCGGCCCTTCCAGCTCGACCGTCGTCTTCTCTGCACAGAAATCTAACTCGACCCCCGACTTTGGCCTATCTCCTGCGACCCTCATTCCCTGAAAGATTGACACTTTTATGTGGAAAGTAGATACTGTATTTACGTGTTGCTCAGTGCCGAGTGCGAAGTGCTGAAAAGCGGTAAGAATTCTGCACCCGGATCCTAAACCCCTAATTTATGAATAGATTTCTTATCATCAGTCAACGATCATATGACAGTTATATGTAGTCCATCTTCTCGTTCAATTCACTAACAGTTTGTCGGCTGTATTCGTTCAAAGAAGCCTTCATTCATCGACCTCAGATAGGCGATCGGGACGGAGTGCATCCTTAAATTCGAAAACGCCATCCTTGAACATTGCCAACCCATTTGTCCTTCGAAGTTCTATCGCATGTCCCATTTATTTCTATAGCTGTGTGGTGATGTGTATTCGATAATAGCGGTCAAAAGCGTTGGAGTGTTGGACAAAAGAAAAATAGATTGTACACGTGTTTTCGGCCCATAAAGACAGTTGACTCTGTAAAATCCCCCTGTACGAAAAGATAATCTTGCGATGATCACAGATTGAGTACTCCGTCGGCTAGATCGCGTTTTCCACATAGCATATCTCCAGTCGTTTTTCATTAACTTTTATATAGATATTACTACCCTTTGCTTTTTATTTAACAGACAGATGTTTGAAGAGGCGGATTTCCCATATGCGAAACAATGTTTGCAGCCATTGGCCTCGCGATGGACGAAAGCTCCTGTGATGTGTTTGTGTGTATGTAACGATGTTTCTACAAGTCCTTCCGGGAACCAGGTTTGGTTGTTTAGTGCTTCAGAAGGAGTCGTCAATTGCGCGGAGACAGGAGTGCCACGTAGTCATTGCTGAACGGGACATAAAAGTGAGCTCAGCATTGTTTATATTATCAAATTTTTCTGGGAGCATGTTAATCGTATCTGAGTTTAGCAAGAGGATGACCAACATAGTCTTTACAAAAACAAACGTCTTCACGCTTTTTTGCTGTGTAATAACGCACTACACCGTTACGATAGGGGCGTGACATCGAAAAGTCCGGTATGTATTCATATAAAAATATACATATAAATATTTCTTTTCAGCTGTTGGGTAATAACTAGTAAAAGTCTTCATAAAAAGTATTTATTGACTGCGATAATGGTGCTATGCAGACAGGGTGTTCTGGCTGAACCTAGAAAACGACTGGTTACGTTTTATTTGAAATATCAATTGGTACTCATCAGAAAATGGCTGTTGCGCCATCATTTATTACGACGAAAGATATGCGGCGGTAATATATTTATTATCCAATATACTTACGACGCGACCATGAGTAGAAAATTTTGTTCTAGCTTCCATAATAATACCTTCAAGGTGGCGGAGTAAAGTCCTTCTTCCGGCTGGCTTTTGCATCACCAACGGTCAGAATTTTTCCGTCGGAGATAAATCAAAGGCAACTGAATGCTACATGCCCAATTTAAGAGGATGGAAAAACGAGAAGATGCCTGTGCCTTGGGATCTTTGGAAAGCATTTTTCTAAGCTTGGCAATATGTGAAGTGTACGTGAGTACCCCCCCCCCCCCCAGAAACATGTGCGTAACTTTCAAAATGGCGATTTAATTCCACTGTTTATGCTAATACCATCGTGAGTATAGCTTTGCGCATTCTAATCATTATATAGGCTCTTCAAGGCTTTTGATTATCACGACCCTAGAGTATTTGTGAATCGGAGTCTCCCTCAGGTACTTTGGAAGTCGCATAGGCTGGTGTGCTTTTTTTCGGAGTGCAGACTTCCGCTGGTACCTATTTTCGGGCAGCGTACCTATCCAATACGATGCCTTTTCGGGCCTATTTCTAATTTGCGGGTCGCTCAGTGTCGCTCGTAGCTGAGGCAACCGCAGCGCCACTTGGAAGGCTATTGTGAGTCGTAGATACTCTTATTAGTGATAGCCCTATCCCTTACGATATCGTATATCTCAAAAAGGGGTATAATAACATTAGCTGACCACTCTGGATTGGTAAACAATGTCTGAAATGCTCGGGAGAAACAAATCTAAGATGGGGCTGTGTAGGTCGGTTTCGATAGCCCTAGCAAAATTTTACCATGTACGTTTTTGACTATTTCAGGGCGATCATCATCGTTAGTACGAAGATTATTACAGGAACTATTGATTATTAAAAGCTTAAATTAGACCAGTACACCATACATACACGTGTTGTATAATCAGTGCAAAAATAATGAGCATGCATTCTTCAATAGTTACTCAAGAAGGTCCATGATAGACAATTATCCTGTCCTTTACTACTGTCCTTGGTTCCAGGTTCAACAGTCACTGAATACGCCAATGAAATTTACGTCACAATGTTGGCAGCAGTGTGCTATAGATATTCCTTGTTGTGTCCGCATAAAGAGAATACCTATACGCATTATCCATTACAGCTGAAAAATGTACGGCGTATAGAGCTTTAAATGAGAACTAATATCGTAAAGCCTTTTCATACTAATTTTTTTGTAAATAATACTGACTTTACTTTTGCTAATCGGCTACCTCATTAACAAAGGCATGCCGTACGAGGATTAGTTTTCGGAGTTATCTCGATACCTGTATATTGTTAGCCCTATCTATAATTCAGGTTACTCATCAAGACCACTCGTCAGAGCTTTAGAACGCTAGCTAAATCCATGGGAATCTTCTGGGCTATCTCCGGTAGAGCATCGTCGTCGTTATTCCCCTAGTTTATAGACTTATTGCCACGAAGATGTCTTGACTACTCTGACTTATAGACAAAAATATCAGTCAAGACTTGAAAGCCTTTAGTAACATCCGCGGAGCATGTTCAAAGCGAGCATCTGCCCTGCCTCACGGCTCACACGGACATTGACCAGCTAATTACATGACCACTGTAAGGATATTTTCGACAACTGTTCATTGACCTTTAGGTAAACAATTACTCTAACATTATAACAACTTGAAGAGAAGCACAACTAGAAAATTGGGGTTGGGAAACGAGCTATGAGATTCCTACAACTGTACCAGCATCTTACTGGGACTCTATGGATGTGTGAGGCACTTACATCCTAGAAAGTGTTCTAACTTTAAAGAAGCTTGTTTAATTGTCGTCTTCGGTTGAGCTTGATAACGAAGTTTTACGCATTTTACTATGACTATATAGGTAAATTATTCTGCTTCCAAAATATCAGTCACAGTTATTCAACAATGCATATTTTGATAGCATTCATTTTACCAAAGTATCGCCGCTGTCTGAGTTTTACGTATTCACGCACTCCATAAGTCGTAACCAATTGCTAACTGAAACTCACTCGTATCTGGATATTTTGTATCAATTGTCGATTAATCAGTTTCAATGAGGTATAAAATGGACAGAATGCTTTCTTTAGATTTCTAAGTACGTATGACACGTTTAACTTACATTTATTTGTGGATGATGGTTACCTTACTTGCACCGACTTATTTCTACGTAATGCAAAATATTATTCATGAGTGCTAGTAAGGATCTCGCGTGACCTCGCAATTGAGTTGCAGTTGTTTCTAATACACGTTTTCGACTCTTCGAGGGTTTTTGCCCATATCGTCATTAGCTGCCCATCGGCAGGGGTCATGACGTCCAGAACGCAACGTGCGGATAGCTGGTTTAAACTATTTTTTAATTCAATTTGATCTTTGTTCTTCGGAACTGTACAAGGGTCTTCTTTAACTTCGTCGTTACAACTTCCGTTCGAAGAAGGATATAGGGATTCTTAGGTGAATGGTACCTTTCTGTATCGCGCTGTTTATCATAGTTGGGGATTTAAACAACAAGAACACAGGTTAGGTGTCCTGTTTGACGTACGACTAGTAGGTAGGTAGTTATCAACCCACTGGTAGCTGATATTGTGGCGGTGACGTACCGAAGGCTTATTTCAGCTTTCGGTGAAACGTAATTAGTAGACATTAACCCAAGATTGATCTCAAGTCAATCAATGTAATCAAGCATAATCATACTATTCATTTTTTACTTACACCCTCTTTTTTGTGACGATTAGTTAAAGCTCAACCAAAATTTCCTGAAATGAAACATGCCATCTAGTACTGAAAAGTTGCCTCTTCTTTATTCAACTATACCTTGTGTTTTTGCCAAGAGCATACATTCATTCTCGCAGATTTACCCGGTTTATTTCCCTTTACGGACACAAATCGAAACATCAAAGGTCTGATGTAAAGTATATTAGCAGAAACATTGTCCTAATGCAAAAACAACGCGCCTAGTTTAAATTAGGTCTGCAGGAATTTGTCATATAATGGAGCGCTGGGGGAATATTGAGGGTGGGCCATTGTGCGATATCAGAATGTTCGTTCGTAGCTGATCTACAGCAAGCATCGGATCCTCCTGTTGCTTTAAGCCACGTTTAGTCTCTGCCAGCGGTGTCCCATATACAACGTTGACTCTGAGTTCTTGTCCGGACCTGGCCATAGGCCTTGGTCGTACCGCCCGTTTGCCGCTTCATAGCTCAAGTGCGTTCCTTCGCATGCGGGGTGGTTCAGGCTCGATGCAATGTGCTGTTATCAGTTGGGCACAGTCTCTCAGGCCAACGAATGTGATAAGCTCCGCGCTTTCCAATTGGTCGCCCCAAGCTAAGCGTTCGGTAGTGGCGCAGCCAATCGCCGCCATGCACTAGGGGTTCAGGGGTGTGGCTTCGCTTCACTGTGGGCGGTGCTCGCCGTCGAGAGCCGGTCATGGAGATCAAAATGTCATGCTCTTCAAAATGAAAATTTGTTTGCCTTCTACCTCCTGGTACATCTAATGCCCGTTGGCAAAGGTTAAGATAGTAGCTGCGATAAAGGTACGGCAGTTGCTCACGGCGGGACGGCTCGAGACGCTGTCGCATCCTCTGCGTTCTCCTGAGAGAAATTTCGGCTGCTAGTCAGCTCGGTATTGTTCGGCTTATGTGGGTCCGCGTTTTCAGTTACAAACAAACTGGACCTAATGTGAAGGAAAATAGGTTTCAGCATTTTAACAAAGTTTAGTGCGAGTTAATACGTGCCAAAAGTAAACTTCGGGTTGAATGCAAATTAAAACAGTGCAAGTTCGTCAGAAAGCGTGTGTAGAGTCGAGCACTAATCTAAGCGAAGGGATCCCAGACAATATTTACTTTAGTCATTATTAGTGGAACACAACGTCTTCTTAATTTCTCACAGTTCATAGTCCTGAGCAAATTGCAAAATGCCACATTCAGGTAAGTCTGATCCATCTATTACACGCATGCAAAATTCACGTAGTCGACCAAATCAGTACTCAGCAGACTTGAAAGTTTCTTTATGTTGAACTTAGAGTGAGGTATACTGACGTTACTTCAGTGGGATCATTTAAAGGTAGCTTCTGAAAATGAATCCGGTTAGGTACGAGAAGGTAATTTTTGTTGTTCAACAGAAGTTGTTCAAATCTGGCTTTTCGTTTTCTCCTAACTTAGTTCAATTTTGAATGATGCTGTTTTAAATAGAGCAACTTGAATTTGTATCACTTTGTTTCGAAAATTGCAACCGCATACACGATTTACAATCTGTTTTAGTCGTACATGAGCTCGGCTCGATCGTGCGATATTCCACCATCGAATGATTTTCTTCTGCTAAAATACGTTTACTTTTATGAAGTTTATGCGTATGCGTGCTTTTCTGGCCATCAAACGTTTTTGTTAAACAATTACGAAGTGGATTTAGCTCCCGGAGAATATCCTTATGGAGCATTGCTATTGAAAAGCATCGTAAGCGTAAGGGTGAACGTCTTGAGACAAGTCAGTGAAGATCATCTATTTGAACCTATGGCAGTTCAACTATAGCCACTTACCTACTGCGCAAGTATATAGAAAATTTTAATTGTAAGCTTTCAGAAGAGCAGAAAATGATGACACGAGACATTCTAGCCTGTAAGCTCTCACAGGCACGAAACTCATCTGCGTGGTCCTTATGGCGAGGTAGATCGAGTGCTGTTACAAATTTTGGCAGACCGTGCTATCGAATATATTTATACATTTCGTCAGAATAATTACTATTGGACAGATAGTTCCTGAGCAGACTTTTAGTGACGGAACAATAGGGTTACAGTTAAAACCTTCGAGATCAGTTCCGTGGCGTAAGTGTCAACAACGTTTCATCAAAGGCCGGATATTCAAGATATTAACAAGCAAGATAATTGACTTAAACAACTGAATAATAATTATCGAAATTTCGATATAGATAAACCAGTCGACATAAGTGACATAAGCGATGAGCACTTGATCCCAGTAGTAATCGAGGTATGTTCATTTGGCAATTCAGTGGTCTTATTACAATCGGCAGCATTGCTAATAAGCTGAGAGGTATTGTGCTACTTAATTATATACTTACGCAAATGTTTTCTTCTAATAAAAATGGCAAAAAAAAAATCTGTTTCATCACTCGTTTAGAATGTATAGAACAATCGGCATCCTGCGAGTGACACCCGCTCAACATGGCTTGTATCACAGATTGCCAATATGCTGAAACTGCAAACAAGTCGATTAAATCTAGAGAGCCTTATACGATAAGCACCTTGACTTCGTAAAAAATTCGTACATAAAAGTGCGGAAAGCAGTTTGTCCACGTAAAGGCCTCAGCTGATCACTTGTGACATTCTGCGGGCCTGTTTGTTCAGACCATCATAGCCTTATTATAAGATCATTCTGCTATTTGAAGTAACATCATGTCGATATCGTTAGAACATATTCATTAAATAATGGCAATTTAGATATAATTATCCTACCCTTCCTACATTTTAGATTTAATGAAGTTCGTGTATACGTGTTAGTGACGACAATACTAAATACGTTTTTATTGTTCCTGATGGATTGACTTCATCCGAGCAGAAAATATTATGCCCCACACAACATGCATGGAAAAACTTGGGCCTACGCCAAAAAGACAATCAGACCTTCCCCATAAGCTGTGTAGACACTCCCGTAGAGGCCGGATTGAATCGTAGAACCGAAGTTGTCTACGTGACTGTATAGCGACAAGGGCAATACAACTGAATAAGTGTACCTAGGGGGCGACCGTAAACTGACTCATTAGTTTATAAAGATCTGCGCGGCAGGAGCAGAGCGTTTTCATATCTGCGTGCAACGTGCACAGCATTCCAGTACGACTGGCTATCATTGACGCAAGGATATCCGCTATTGTCAATAAGCACGAAAGCATATCAGTTAGAATTGGCCTGTGCTAGGTCCACTAAGAGGAGGCTATTGCAGTTACTGAAAATGCCAATAAGATATAGTTAGGTTCACTGCTCTTACGTATTATTCAACAGTCGTCGTCCCCTAACACAATCAGTTTTGTGAAAAATGTGAAATTTTTACAAATTATTTTCGAAAAAACTCAAGTCGGTGCAACGAATGTTCACTTCGAGTAGATGAACAGTATCCCGGAAACTGATTATTTGCAAATTGGACACTGTGTGTCTGAACCATCCTGCCCAGGCCAGGATGTGAACAAATGACGGGGAACATGATTATCTTTATCCAGACACACGTCAAGGATTGGAGAAGACCGTTGTAGGGATGCTCTCTGTGTCGATGTCTCTGTAAAACTATGAAGTGACCCATTCTTTATCTCATGTTAGAGTAGAATTCTTTGTCTGAAAAAGCATCTTTCTGATATACGCCGTCGACGCCGAGCCTGTACTGAGGGGCAGCGGAACAGCTTAGCAAGACCGAAAAGCCATGATGGGAAAAGTGGGCTGGAGGCAGAGCCCGAGGCTTACCTGCTTTACTGTCATCAATAATCACAACAAGCTGACACATGATTGCGAATAGTTCTTCGAAATTTACTAAAATACGACTCAAGTTCCCGCGACAGCAATCTTCAGTGCACCTACTAGAAGAAGAATCCCGCTTTGAAGAATTCACTATGTCAGGTAATGCGCAGACAAGCGAATGTCTGACTAACGCAACGCTGAGCAAGCCGTGCGCGAATGACCAAATCGTAAGCGAATCAGAGATACGTTTAAAGCTGGCAGCGATTTCGACGAAGGTATAGTCGTTATTGATGATGATATGTCTAGAAGCTACGTACGCAGCGAGAAAGAATCGAAGAGCAAGGCGGGTCTGTAATGGTGATACGCTGCAATCTAGTTACAGGTGAACTCCTCTTACGCTTGCTTGAGACATACTGCAAAAGGGTAAGCAGCCGCTATGAGATACATGGGAAGAGATATTTCATTCTTCATGTCGCGGGGGCCTTGGGCTTTTTCACGCAGTGGCAATCTAGACAACTTGTCTCACACGTGTGATCTAGAACTTACTAATTAAGAACCCAGTGCTTCTTCAAAAATGTGCAATGATGCTTTTGCAAGCATTATAACTAAACTAGATTCCACCAGAACGGTTGTGGGATTCTTCTTACCATAATTAAAGTGCGGTTCCTGCCTAAGCTGAGTGTTAACTGTCAACGAGCAGTGAAGCGAGTGTTGATCCCAAGAAAAGTTCATCTCTAGCTGTGATCACCACCATTTTCGGCCAGACGTCTTGGCCATACGCGTCTCAGCAGCTCCAGCATCGGAAACGATCGGTAAACATCGGCAGTGACATACAGAACGCAACAAGTTTCCGTGATCGGAACACAGCTGCTTCCCCTCTTCAGTGTGTGTAGGTGGAGTGGAGGGATTGCCGAAGAAATGAACGCTATGAAGCTAGTGACTCATTAGGCTAGCATCACCTGGCCTTCAATCATGAAAGCCGATAGCGGGACGGTCCTCTTAAGATAGAGCCAGTAGCGAAGGGCCTTACTATATGACAGCTGCTAGGCACAGCTGCAGGATAACGTCTTTAATTGCCACCTCTGTCCACTCGTCGACCAGTGCGAATAACTTTTAAATCTCCATAGAACGTGACGTTTGTCCTATTTTGACAGCATCGGCAAGCGAGAAACGAAGCGAGAGTCAAAAGAGACTTTTTCGTAAGCATAGAGTAGCTACGTGTGCAATATTCGTAGTTGCACCATGCTTCAACGTGGAGACGTTTCCAAAAGTATGTAGCTAACACGCAGTAAGCATGTGTTGTTTTGATCCATAAATGAAGCAGTATATGAAGCATCGACCTTTTTAACATTCACTGTCTACTCATAGGAAGTCTTCATAACTAAACTTGGTATAAGATTCTCCCGCCGCAAATTTGAGACTCGACCTTAGACGATTTCCAACGCAGTGTGAATGGGAAAAGCCACCAAGAGGATTCAAAAATCAGGGCTATGGTCTCTAGCACAGCATTACCTTCTTTGCGAAATGTCCACAGATACTGACGTTATTGAGAACCTCGGCCAGCTTGAACCTGTCGTTGGTCGGTGATCATTAGAAACCAATCGTCTTCAGAAAAGTTCTATTAGAAAGGCGGGATAACGTCTCGACGGCATCAAACTGCCACGGCGGAGCTCGCTAGAGATCGGGGACATAATCGGATATCCTCATCATTGGGCTCGAAATTACATAGAAAGTCGCCATGGCGAAAGGAGTCATCTATCGAAATCAGAGTTCTTGAATGGTCGCCGCTTTTACCGTCCCAAGTTGGAAACAGCAGCGGATAAGTAGAAAGAATCCCATGTGAGATTTAATGAAATGTTAGCAGACACAACAATGACACTCTGCCAGAAACTGGTTAAAAAGGTAGATTAACTGGAGCAAGGTATGAGTAAGCTTACGAGAAAAATTGTTGGGAACAATAGGTTTTTGCCTTTCTGACCCGATCAAGCAACACGTTGCACGAAGCGTTCGAAATGCCACGTGGGGTGAGTGATGGCCTGTTTCATATGCCCCCCATCAGCAAAAGCTCTACGATAGTTGTAGTATCAAACAGATTTCAGTGTTCAATATAGTTAGTCGTACGCAAATTATATTTGTACTGAAATAAGCAATGTTTTGTCGATTACGATCGCGAACCGATACAGCCGTTCTGCCTCGGCGTACAATCGGCCAATGAGCCTTCATACATATGATTTAGAAGTAGCTTGTATTGGATCTTTTATGAGGCTATTTATAAGCAGAAATAAAGCCTAGACTGAGTTAACTGTTATTCGATCATTTCCAACGGGGGTTATAATTTCATTAAATTCCGTTAGCATATATATATATATCTGATTGCCCGGAGCTATTAGAGAGATTTCGGTACATGTTTGATGTAGTCCCCTTTAGAGTCTATGAACTGAAGTCAACGCTATAAAGTTTCTTAATAGC